GTGTCTTGTGTCGTCGAATTAAAGCCGCTATGATCAACGTTAAAGGGCATGCTGACCCTCAAGGTAGTGTGAACTGGGGGCAAAAGAGTCTCAGATATGCGAGTGCAAGTGTATGCACCTGAAGGCATGTATGTGGAGTGTTGTCTCGTGTTAATAAAGAAAACATACTCACACCTCCCCCATCTTCTTGTACACAGGTTGAGATCTGCCGACAAAAGTCTGGTTCTTCCTCCTGCTACAGTCCTGTTGTCCGGGTCATCCACAATGTCATCTTAAAGACAGAGGAACAAAAGTCACTGTATTGAACGCAGCAATTGGCTACAAAGTCTTGCTATGATCACACCAATTTTATCACAGATTTTGGCAGAAAATCAGTAATTTAGCAATGTCTGGCGAAAAAATTGTTAACAGTTACAGTTACAGAAACCACAAGGAAGACAAGAGTTTTCTTCATCTGTTCGTGCCAAAATATGAGCATATTTTCTTGGACATCATAAAAAAAATAAAGCAGAGGAATCTGAAAACCAAGGATTAAACTTGCGTGGTCTAAGAGTTACTGAAAATTACAATTTTTTCACAGTAATTTTATATTGATTCACAGTCGTGTCTGTACTGCAAACATATTATTAGGGTGAACAAATTAGGTAACTTCTTTTTCCTGCACTTGCTGCCAGAGTCCACAAACATTTGTGTGTCACCAACTAGAAAAGATTGCCTGCAGCAAAAATTACTCATAACTGCCTATTTTGAAGTTAAGGATCAGGGTAAGTTTCTCGATACTGTTACAATTTAATGTTATCGACCAGACGTCTTAACTTGTAACATACTATATACATACTATATGTAGCAAAAAAGTTGTGTCAAACAAGTACAATTTTTAATATCAAAATGCAATAATCATGGTTTTGCTTCAAATTAGAATTCTGCCAGAAAGACTTCAGTAACAGAACTTTTTAGTATACCAAACTATCAGACTAGATTTTCTGACACAGGATAACTGGCCTGTCATGTCTGTGAAGTGTAGTTTATAAATTTGTGTTCATATGCATTTTAATTTGTAAGTATCCATGACATTCATGCAATTTGGATATGTTGATATTATTAAAGAATTGAAGGTTGATGCATCGAACATCAGACAGTTTTCAAAATCTATCCACTGCAGTTGCTTGTCAAATGAGTATCATTGAGTTTTCTCGAGTACAATGTATCTCATCACTCTTATGATTGTCTAACCTTCATCAAATCGGATGTAGCCAAACCAAATATTTTTTATATTCTTAGGCCACACCAATTTAATTTCTTGGTTAACGGATTTTTCTAGAAAAGTAATGGAGCGGGCGGGCGAAAAAAAAATTAAAATAAAAACAAGCCTAGGCATCCTATTATGGTACGATAGGAGCCATGAAGTCAACACACCAGGCTGGTTCAAAATTTAAACAATAAATTTTGAACTTTTAATGATACCATTGCATTGAAAGATGGAATAACTGTAACAACTTGGATGAAAAGGACTGTTTTCAACTGTTCAGCGCAAAATATGAGCATTTTGCAGTTGATTCTGGATTTTTATTTTTATTTGCAAATCAGAAAAAAATGAAGCGGCGAATCCGTTAACCAAGAAATTAAATTGGTGTGGCCTTATCCACACAGACAAAACTATGTACTAGGTTATCTTCGTAACAATTTAACCTTTAATTAAAACAGACATTCAGATGTATGTATGGAAATACAAACTTACCAGTTCAATCTTTGTCTTCTTCTGTATCTTAAAGCCAACTCAGGTTTGCCCATCATCTGGTCTGCATTGGACAGGAGTCGCCAGTCATCACAGGTTTCTCCCAGTCAGGACAGGAACGTCACGACACACCTAAATGTAACAATGAAAGGACAATTAGTGGGATGCAAAAACATCAGACCTCCATTCAACACTGAATTACCATTAAATGATACACAATTGAACTTAAGCCCTTTTCTTATAAATAAATAGATGTAGAAAACATAATAATATACTTTAGATGCTAAACTGAATGTGTTTCAGATATGTCACTTGTGCACATCAGTAAAAAACATTGTCTCACCTGTACAAACTCTTCACTGTGTCTTCCTGAGCCCCTTGGTTGGACAAAAGTCATCACAGGTTTCTCACAGTCAGGACAGGAACATCAGGACACACCGAACTATATGAAAGGATAATAAGTTAATAATATATAATAAGGGACTGTACGATATTTACCGGGGAGGGGGGGCCGGTCGTCCGGGAGTAGCGTAAAAAAATTTTCCTAGGCCTCCCCGGCTCAAAAAATTTTCCTAGGCCCTCCCCCAGGCATGAATCATAGAGAGTGAAATTTCGTATGGGAGGACGAGATTTGATTGAAATTTTCCCCGCATGAAGCGCCGCAGGCGCCACTAGAGCCCGAGTAGGCCTGGCTTTTTGGGGCCCCCCCCCCCGGAAAAAATTTGAATTTCAACCCATGTTTTGCATGTTGAGGGGCAAAATTTGCAGCACAAATTTCGCTGGTACATCGAGCTATTTAAGTCAGTAACGTTACGGTCAGTCAGTTAAATCGAAATAAATCCTACCTTTCGTCCACGAACTTCTTCCGCATCAATTTTATTACAAACAGGGAAACAATATTGCCAAGTTTACGTGTTGTTTTCAATTAACTTTGGAGGGACATAGATATAAATGTTAAAATAGTTCTTGGTTTAAAAAAAATACCAAATTAATCCGTCGACATCCGACATCCACGCCGAGAAGTTTGAGCGAGTTGCGAGGCGGGACCAGCGGGTCACCTTTGCCAACGCACGCACACCACTGGCAAGGGTGCGTTGAACGGCGAAAATTAATTTTCAAATCTTCCGACAAGCCTTCCCTACATTTTTCATCGGTATCGTTTCGATAGCCGCGATTGACACGACTTTAATCCATGTAATTTGGCTGTGTAGTCCAGTTTCGCCGATTCTGGTGAAAATGCAAGATTTTGAAGAGGACTGTGGGAGATTTGGGCGAATACATTTATAATAATAGGGATGGATATTATTGGAACGTAAAATTCTGCCGATTCCAATGACCGGCAAATCGCTACGATATGTATGGGACAGACGTTAATCATGTTTTGAAAGTGTATAAAAACGTTGTAGAGTTAAAGGGATCTTGGAAAAATTTTTTACCTAGGCCCTCCCCCAAATTAGAATATTTTTTCCTAGGACCTCCCCCCGGCTCAAAATTTTTTTCCTAGGCCCTCCCCCCTCAGACGACCGGCCCTCCCCCCCCGGTAAATATCGTACAGTCCCTAATATTTGAAAAAGAAACACTGAATGTTCATAATGGAAAATAATTTTCTAAGGTGTATTGTAAACCTGTATCTCACCTGTACAAACTCTTTGTCTTGAATCAAGTCAACAGGTTGGCTGAGCCCATCAGGTACGATTTGCACAAAAGTCGCCCATCATCACATACAGGTTTCTCCCAGTCATCATCTTCAAATCACCAGGTCTGGTCTGGTCCAATCCAGTCTTGTCAGGTTCAGACAGGAATCCTTACTACTGCATCATTCAGCAGCCACCTATAACTATATAGACATAACAAGTTACACACTTGTTTCAAATAAAACCAAGTAAATGGAACTTGTGAAATGCAGGATTAAGACTTTCCTCATCAGTGACATTCCTCCTTGGTCTTCAAATCACCAGATCTGGTCTCAGGTCCAATCCATGCAGTCTTGTCAGGTTCAGACAGGAATCCTTACTACTGCATCATTCAGCAGCCACCTAACTATACAGACATAACAAGTTACACACTTGTCTCAAATACCCAGTAAATGGAACTTGTAAAATGCAAAATTCAGATATTTCTTACCTGATATTCTTCCTGGGTCCTCAAATTGCTTCGTCTGGTCTGGTCCAATCCAGTCTTGTCCGGTTCAGACAGGAATCCTCACTACTGCATCAGTCAGCAGCCCGGGACCTAACTAATAATATAGACATAACAAGTTACACACTTGTCTCAAGTACCCAGTAAATGGAATTTGTAAAATGCAAAATTCAGGTAATTCTCACCTGATATTCTTCTTGGGTTCTTGAATTGCTTCGTCTGGTCTGGTCCAATCCAGTCTTGTCAGGTTCAGACAGGAATCATCACTACTGCATCAGTCTGCAGCCACCTAACTATACAGACATAACAAGTTACACACTTGTCTCAAATACCCAGTAAATGTTATGTAAAATGCAGAATTAAGATTTTACTCACATAATATTCCTCTTGGGTTCTCAAACTTCTTGTCACGTTTACACAGGTCTCATCACTACTGCATTACTCAGCATCCACCTGTTTGCAAATTGCCAGACATAACAGTTACACACTTGTGTCAAATACCCAGTGAATTGAACTTGTTAAATGCAGAATTAAGATAACTCTTACCTGATACTCTTCTTAGTAGGTCCTCAAGTCACCAGATTTGGTCTGGTCCAATCCAGTCTTGTCAGGTTCAGACAGGAATCCTCACTACTGCATCAGTCAGCAGCCACCTAACTATACAAACATAACAAATTAGTTACACACTTGTCTCAAATAATCAAGTAAATGGTAGGTAAAATGCAGTATTCAGATTTTCCTCACCTAGCCTGATACTCCTGTATCCGATCACCTGGTGCCTCTGTCATCACAAGTCTCATCTCATCAGGACAGGAACACTTGCACAGCTGGCAGACCCTCAGGACACAGGTAACTAACTACAAATGTGCATGAAAAGAATTACAAGGTGTTATCAGCCCTGTCATACACAGACAACATCAGGATATATATAAATTGGACATACAGATCAGAAACTGACCTGCCTAGCTGCTGCTGAGCTTGGCGTGCTTCTCAGCACCACGGAAGGTTCCAAGTGTCTGCAGTGCCGTCTCATCAGTTAGACGCCTCCCTTCCTCGACGTTTCGCCCCGTTCTGCCTAAGACGTCTCTGGGGGGTGGGGCAACGGAGCAGGCGTCCCTGCTCCGCTTCAGGCACTGTCACCACTTCTCTGGAAGGACTTCCACGCCTTATCCTTTCTCCTCAGCCACAACACGAAACTGCTTCTTTCTGCTTCCTCAGTCACCTGTCTAGTGAGCTTTGTCTGGGCTTTTCCCCTGATGTTGAAGTCCCTGCACAGACGCATGAAGGAAGTCCCTACAAATCCTCTTACTCCGACTTCTACTGGGTATAGGCGCGTCTGCCATCCTTTCTGCTTGCACTGCTGGACCAGATCATCATATTTCAGTTTCTTTCTTTCAAATGCTGCTTGCACATTTTCTTCCCACGGGATTGTCAACTCAATAATCAGTACAGCTTTCTGATCCTCGGACCACAGGACTAGATCCGGTCTAAGAGATGTCTCACAGATGGTGCTCGGGAAGTGGAGTTGTCTGTCCAAGTCTGCTCTCATCTCCCACTTTCCCCTGCACAGAATACTGCTTCCTGAGTTAACTGTACCCGTGACTGCTGTTGATCTTGGTTTCTGACCCTCTTTCACAAACTGGATAGACTGAAAGGATGATGATGTGCTGGAGGATTCCTTTCTTACTTCCTCCAGCTTCACTGCTAGCTGTCTTAACACCTTGTTGTGTCTCCATGTGTAGCGACCTTGTTGCAGAGCAGTCTTGCAGCCTGACAGAATGTGTTTCAAGTCAGCTTGAGCTACCCCGCACAGCTGGCAAGACTCCTCATTCCTATACCACCGAGTGAGGTTACGAGGGGTGGGGAGGACGTCATACGCTGCTCTCACTAAGAAACTCAACCTGGCACTCTGTATATTCCACAGGTCGGTCCATGTGAACCTTCTCTCGACCACACCATCCCAGTTTAGCCAGGCACCTTGTTGGCTCTGACCAACTGCGGTCACCATCCTGCCCTCCTCCTCCATCCTTCTAACCTCATGCGACACCAACTGCCTCCTTTCCCTGGGGTTGGCACTCCTCCATCTCTGAGTACTCTCA